TTTTTAATTGCGCTATTAATCACGATACATTTTTTAATCGCTTGACAGCCCTAATTGATAAAGTGGCAAATCTCAGTGTTTTGTACTGTTTCCAAATGTGCACATAAGACATGGCTTTTAAAAGATGTTCTCATGGTTTGTGTACTCTGCTTTTCAATGTGCTCCTTCTATAGAGTGAAATCCAGGCCCGATATAAGTCAATGGAAGTTTTTGCCATTGACTTCAATGGGGCTAGAACAGGGGTCGCCTGTTCGGCACGCGGCTCGCCAGGGTAAGCACCCTGGCGGGCTGGGCCAGTTTTATTTACCTGCTGACACGGCAGGTTCGGCTGATCGCAGCCCCCACTGGCCGCGGTTCGCCGTCCCGGGCCAATGGGGGTGGCGAGAAGCCGCGGCCAGCACATCGCTCGCCCGCGCCGCTTCTCGCCGCCCCCTGTGCTTACCCTAGTGCTTACCCTGGCGAGCCACGTGCCAAACGTTGCCAACCCCTGGGCTAGAATGTCACCCATTATTTTTTATTAATGTTAATGGGAGTTAAGTAGTACTGCCTTTCCAAGGGAGTTTATACCACATTAAAGTTGTTATTCACACAGATTATCATTCTTTGACTGTTCTTCATTTTAAGGACAGCATTCTGTGCTCCATTAGCCTTTGAGATGTTCTAATTCTCAATCTTCTTTGGTGGCACTGCTTGGGGAGATTGCTTCCTTCTCTCCGATAAAAGTTGTGTATCATTTTGTTTTAAAGTAATGCATCTAGGGAGTCTGTCTTTCTTTCTGAACGGGGCGTAGCCAAATGTGACTCCAACCTTGACTGGGGTGTCTAGCTGCTACTGCAATACAAATAGAAAATAACAATAAATAATTAATAATGTGCTAACTCACCTTGCTTACGAGAGGAATCTGGTGTCATGCTAATCAATATCAAAGTTAACTAGAAACTGATTAATGTGAGCTGCAATTTTGTGCAAAATTGAAAATATGCTTTAGTATTCCCCAATGACCTTTAAGGTGGCAGACCTAATATGCTTTTATGGTCTCTTCCCACCATCACTCATACTTAAAAAATTTCTTCTCTCTTTCTCCTTTAACAGTTGTAGGGTTTGATCTGGGAAACAACTGACAATCACGGGTAACTTTACTCACCAGAATAGTTCCATTGTACTTAGTGAACTACTCTTGTGCTTAATTGTTTGCAGGATCAGGCCCTTAGATAACACCAAAGTAAACATTAAGGTGTATTTTTCACATATAAAATTTCTTCCCTTCTGTTATGGAGCATGCAATAAGACCGTTTGATGGCTTTTTTTCTGAACTTCTTGAGTGCTGGTGCAAATGCTGATGCTCACAATTTAAGTAAGTGGGTAGTATCTCTCACTTGAAAGGAATGGAAAAGCTGATTAAATGAGAATTGCTTTGGCCAAAAAGCTTTTTTAAACAGCCGCCTTCGGGGTGCCTAATAGTAACCACACAAAGTTTCAGATAATAGCTAACAAAATGAGGCTCAGTGCTATACCTGAATCCACACAGGATCCTTATGCCTGCACAAATCCTTGCGGGACCAAGACCTAGGTTGAGTAACCTATTTAAATTACATTATAGGACACAAAGATAAAAGAAGAGAGAAGCACAAAATTAAGTGCAGAGAATTCAGTTTATTGAAGTCCAAATTTACAACTGAAGTTTACAACTTATTTCCCCCAAAACAAAAGCTACTTTTGAATTTAGGAGGAATAAATGTCCTTTTCATAATGTACAGACTATATCTTTTAAATAAGTTAATATCTTTGAAAAAAGAGCAATATGTTCCTTTTTTAATGTTGCAGTGCAACTTACAACTTACACGTCTGTGCAATGTACCATGAGGTATATGCCCAGTGAGCAACACACAGTGAAATTTTCCATTCATAAATTCTCATTGTAGACACACAAAAAGATAACCTGTGATAGAAAAAATGCAGCCAATTACAATAATTCACACAGAACTAATCTGAAAAGAGAAAAGAAAAATAAACTAACATTCATAGCCTATATAAATTAGTGGATCACCTCCCAACATAGGACAAATATAAAATTAAGTATACTGTTGGGAAACTGAAGAAGTACTGTATTATCCAGGGGTTGAAATTTATTTTTACCTGTATGAGTCTAAAGTAATTCATTTCCTGTCTCTGTAGCATCAGTGAGCTGAAGGACTTTATCTACTACAGAATCTAAATGGTGTCTACTCATAAAAGGGACCTTCAGATATAAATATGATGCTAATTATTATATTGCAGTCTCAAAATATCCAACCATGTATAAACTGGAATACAATCCAGGATTCTTCCCTGGCTCAGATAGACATTTTATCATCACCTCTCAGTTTTATTTCACAGCTAATTATGAAAACATACAGCAGGTGGGGCTGAAACACCTGTAATGTGAACATACTGGTACGTGAAGCTTTGAATCTTCAAACTTCTTTTCAGGATGGCTCCTACTAAAATACCTTTTTTTCTCTTTATGACAGAAAACATACGTTTTCTTTTAGAAATAATCAACCACAATGTAACTTTGTGATAAATAACAGTTCTGCCTCTAATACATATATACATATTGTCTGTAAACAAAAATGCCCATAAATCATGGAGTCTCCATGATTTTTATACAAGGCGCTATAGAATTTTTTGTTGTTGAAAACAGTCCTAGTGAAAGTTTGGTTTATAACCTCCTATTGCTACAGAAATAGTAAGAATGTTCATATTTACAAAAGAAAGACCATGGAGACTCCATAGCATTATTTGCTAATGATCTTAAGTTAGCAGGATTTTCAAAATACACTTTGTGAGCTTGTTCAGATTTGATTAACAGTACAGGTTGAACACCAGCAGTGTAATACTCTAGTAATTTGGTATTTCAACCCCTGAATATACAAAGACATTATTACTACAGCCTACTTCACAGTTTATATGCAAGTAAAGTGCAAGCCATAGTACAAGGGTGTCATACATTTAAGCATTATCTAAAATAGGCTCTCTATTTGTACAAGTCTTAATATCTACTTTAGTAAACTAGACAGATGTCACCTATGACCCAGCAATTAATGGTGTTACGAGGATATTTTCTTTTTAATTAATACAGCATCAGTGTCGAATGCAAAAGGACCCTTAATACTAGTGCTTTCCTCTTATTGTCTATACTTTTCTCTTCCTAGCTTCTTAGACTGAATTGCTTCAGTTTCTTGATAAAACAGAAGTCCTTACTGGATACTAAGCCTAATTTAGCATTTATAACAAGTCTCACTGTTACTTTGACCAGTGAACAGAATTTGTTGGTTAAGACGTGTTTTATAGTTGCTAGTGACAAAATGCAAGAGAGAATCAAGATAATATGGAAATGTAAGTTATTTGCAACATTCTGCCAGATGCATTTACAATAAGTAAAAACAGCTGTATTGAGACCCCACAAATGCCTCAGACTGTATAATACTGTAGAAGTTTGGGGACAGAAGTTTATTGGGCATTTCCAGTCAAGTAACATAGTTCTCTAGCTATTTTATCTCTCGTATAACAACAGCACTTACATCAAGTACTGCATATAGAGTGGCTGTAATGCACACTGTACAGTACTCAACTGTCACATTTAATGCAGTGTGCGTACATATTTTAATAAAAATAGACAGTTCAATTTGTTTATTCCAGCACTGGCCTGTATTAAGAATGACTATAAAAATTTTCTGAATACAGTGAATATACAGTCAGTATTTTCTTAATGAGGTGTGTAACATTTTCATTAACACCAGATTGCAATAGTATATCAGCCATCTCAAAATCAGACAAAGGTTAAACAATATTAATTTTAATCTTCCTTCCAAATATGGAAGTATGGCATAAACTGTAACATGTAGAAAATAAGTTTTCTTTAAAAAAATGCTCCTTTATTCTATTAGTTATATTGAGATTAGAGAATCAGATGCCTATACATTAATAAATAGAGCTGATCATAATTAAAATACTGGTTCTGATTATAAGAAGCTAAGGAAATAAAATCTTTTAAAAATCAACCATAAAAATATTACACTTCAATAGCTGTTATTTAAATAATATGAAATATAAAACAAATTTCCATTCACTAATGGATAACATGGCTGAGATTAGATTTAGATACTAAGTGGTATGTGTTAAGACAACATCTTTGCAGCCCTAAGCTACAGTATGTAAATTTATTTGGGTGGAAAAGGAGATAAAAGACAAAAGCAAAGAGAAATCTAGGACACCTATGAAAGCTTCTTCACAGCTGAGGTTTAACGAGAAAAATCTAATAGACGAAGAAGTAAAAGGAGGCAGTTTAATAAGATCTGATGGGTCAAAAAGGAGCTATAATGCCTCTCCTCACATAAAAGTAACAGTCCACAAAAAATCTAAGGCCCCAGCATAGTAATTAACCACAGGCTAAACTTTAAGCAAGTGCATAGTTCCACTGACTCCAGTAGGACTTTGCATGTGCTAAAAGTTAAGCACCTGCTTAAATGTTTTAATAGATCAGGGCCAGAGTGCTCAGCACCTTGCCCAAGTTATCCCTAGCTGAGTTAATATTGCTATCGCCATCGTTATCCAGTTTTTGCATTCCCCTCTTGTGGGGTCCCAGAGTCCGGGCTCCAGCTTGCAGGGCCGCCCAGAGGATTCAGGGGGCCTGGGGCAAAGCAGGGGAGCAGACCTAAAAAAGGGTACCACCCGCTGTAGTGCTTGTACTTACCAGGCGGCGCTCCGAGGCGACGGTGACGGGTCCTTCAGTTGCTCCGCGTCTTCGGCAGCACTGAAGGGCCCCCCGCCGCCGAAATACTGCCGAAGACCCGGAGTGACTGAAGGGCCCCCCGCTGAGTGAGTAAAAATTAAAAAGGCGCCTCTAGCCAGAAAGGGATTCTCGGCCAAGTCTCGTGGGGCTCCTGCGGGGCCCAGGGCCTGGGGCAAATTACCCTACTTGCCCCCACCCCCTCTGGGCGGCCCTGCCAGCTTGAGCCCGAATGTCTACTCTGCAATTTTATAACCCTGTAGCCTGAGCCCCGCAAGCCCAAGTTAGCTGACATGAGCCAGCCACAGGTGTTTTATTACAGTGTAGACATACCCCTTATGTCTTCCCTACAATTGCCTAGTTTCCATATTTTGAAACTTAAGCCAATTAAATGCCACTTTAGGAAGTTCTCCCTTGTAGATATTACATTAACATTTGCACAGTTTGAATATTGGTGTGCTGTGGCGGACATTTTAGACGAACAGGTCCCCAATCCCGCAGAACAATCCATGCAGGCAGATCCCTGATATCCTTGCTGACTCTTTTCAGGATTGGGTTCATGGTAGTAGCCCAGTTTTCTGATTTACCTGCATCAGTAAATTGGCATTTAGTCTGTAAATTAAATTATACTTTGAGGTCAATTGACCTCATACAGTCTCAAGTCTCACAGGTCTTTCTGGGACACTTGTGTCATGGGACAGTTAAGCTTTTGGGCTCAAATTCTCTGGAGCAGCTAAGTGGCACCTGGCACAAGTCCAGCGTGTTTAAAGGGAGCAAAAATTGCTTTAAGTCACCTTTGTGACTCCCTGCCATTAAATGTTGGCCCAAACCTTAGGCATTCAGACAGCTCTGTCTCACAGTGACTTCCAACAGCTCCAAGGGGCTGACAGCCAGGGTTTGCCAGAATGTAAAGAAACCCCAGCTATGTTCCCTTTCTCATAGGCACATGCACTGTGTTGGTGAGTGAGAGGGCTTTACACAGCATGGTGGCTTCGTGCCACTGGAGGATTGCAGGAGATTGCATGTTGAGATAGTAGTCAGAGACCCAGATCAGATGGTCTTAAGTGTGCTTTGTGTCACTGGAGAAGTACAAAATCAGATTTAATGGATCTGAGTTTAATGGCCCTTGGAGTTTCATAATGTTCCTCAGAGATGTACTGTACTTTAGGCACGATATGGAATTTCTGCCAGAATCTTAATTTTGATGTCAACACTTTCATCACCACTGATAACATTCCCAGTCTCTACCCTTTCAGCAGTCCAATCTAAATCCCCTTAAAGTCAGTAGTAAGACACCCATCAACTTCAGTAAGAGGTTGGTCAGGACTCAAGATTTCTGTAGAACAACTGGAGAACTTCCTTAGTAAAAAGAACAGGAGTACTTGTGGCACCTTAGAAAAGGTGCCACAAGTACTCCTGTTCTTTTTACGGATACAGACTAACACACCTGCTACTCTGAAACCTTCCTTAGTAAAAGCTTTCAAATGGTACCCTTCCCCAAACTGCAATACTTTGACACATACAGCATGCATACTTTGACCTAGAAAACTATAATTAAAGAGGAGAAGTTGGGGTAAAGTTAAGTTTTCAGCTAAGGTTCTTCAAAACCTGAGAACTCCCTGCATCAATCGTATGGATGCCACTCCCTCTCCCGCTTCTCTTGTCACCCCCCACTCAAAAAAAAAAAAAGACAAATGATGCGCCAGTTTTCCAGTTAATATACAAATGGGTAGTGACCCGGCTCTGATAATGGACTGATGATCAACATTCCAAGTTCAAAATTCTCTGTTTGGCATAGTGGCTACCTGAGTCTCTTGATAACAAATGATCAGGGCTGCCTTGTGGCAGTAGGACCTATCCTAATCCAAGAGGTGCTTATGGGCTATTTGGGAAAGAAGGACCATAAAGTTGGCACAAGACAAGATGGTTCTTAGGCCTAAAGAGAAAGAAAGAAAGAAAGAAAGAAAGAATCTCCTGTCAATGTTTGAGAAAGTGCAGCCCGGGGGGTGGGGGTGGGGCAAAGATGACTTTAATTCACCTTTGAACCCTCAGGACTGCAGGTTACTGAGGGGTCAGTGCAGGCCCCAAAGCAAATTAGAGCTGCCAAGAGCTACTCTAATTTACAGGAGCCTCCTGACGGCTTGTCTAGCGGCTGTGTCGCAGTTCAGAATCTTCATTGCACTATGGAGATAATGCCTCTGATACCCATGATGACAGCTCTACACTGTTGTCTCCCCCTTTGTGTGACAGCTATGGCCCGTGTTTGCTTTTGCATGTAGGAACTGGGATAAGAGATAACATCTGACTCAACATCTGTGCTCCATGATTATATTAAAGAATACTGATGTTGCAACTTGTTAGAGCTTCTTTTTTCCTTTGATTATTTCTTTTTATTAAACAGAATGAGTTCAGGGACATTTTCATTTGATAATATGACAAAATAAAAAATGTCTCAAACCCTTCAGGAAGTGCTACTGAGATAGATAGATATCGGGATGATCAAAGATCTGTATTTAGAGGAAATGGAAGAATAATAATAATAAAAAAAGAGGGTGGCTGGTGAAAAGCATACAATCAGTTATAAAAAGACATACTGAAGTTTGTGGAGTCGCAGGAAAGCCATGCTGATTCAGTGACATCTTTGGTTAAAAATATTACAGGCAGAAAGTCTGAATAAAGGCTCAAAGTGTTTGGATAATTTTGAAAACATTTGAATAAATGAAATACATCCAAACCTATTGTTTATGTGGTTGAAGATAAGAATACAGGATTTATCTGAATATTCAGGCAGGAATTCTATTGAAATAATAAATATTATATATTGATTCTGGGCTTGATTTTGCGCCACCATTGAAGTCAAGAGAGAGCCAATCCTGCCCTTACTCATATGCAACCATATTGATTTCAGCAGGACTAGATGGGGTGTTAGAGCAAATTTGGATCAGGAAATTTTGCCACTGATTTCAGATTATAAATAAAATCTTTGGATCACAACTTGTATTCCAATTGGCTTAAAGGTCACAAACCCCTAAACAATTTGTGCTAATGCAGGTTTGTGCAGCATTTGTATAATATATAATATCTTCAACAGTATCTATAGATAGATAAATAAATCCAGCTTCCACGGGTAACTATTTATCCAAGAGACACTATGGACTCCAAACCTCATTGCACTGGAGCAGAGCTTTGCACAGCTGAAGCAGTGGGGAGGCAGATGGCTCTAAGTCTAAGGCATCTTTTGTCTTCCCCGAACCTCAGGGCTGGCTAGGAGCTGAGCCAACTATGAGCACAAATTTGAACAGCCTCAGTGCCATTATGCCACAAGGTTCACTGGAATGCTGTGTTCCCTAGCCCTGCCCTTATGACACCTTTTACACTGGGAGCAAGAACTGGTGGAGTAGATCTGTCTATATTCTTTTCTTCTGAGATTCTTCTATGCCAAGATAAATTTCTAACAGCCTCTTTTAGGGCAGCTTTTTGACTTTCTTGCACAGCCTGAGAAGGCAAAATAGGAAGAAGCAGAGCCAATCATCTGACCTCATATGTCAAACAAAATGTCTGTATTAACCAGCCTAGTAATTTATTTTATTCAGTGGAAAAGATGGAGGCTATTTTTAAAATGTAGGATGTATAATTCACATTTTAAAAACAATTTCTTATTTTAACTTAAAGAACTCCACATCTTTATTCTCAAGTGTTTTTTTTTAAACCTAAATACAGAAAGTCTTGTCTTGTTTGGTTTAGAAAGTAAAACTCTGCTTCTCCTAATATTAAACAGAAATTGAGGGGCATACATTGGTTGACATTTTCTTAGCAAATTAGCTTTAACTGATTCTTATTTATTGTACAGAATTTTGTATGCATGTAAGTAAATGTGTCAAAATTCTTTGTCTTTATTGACATGTTAGTGATATTTGTAAAAGCTAAAAGAATAAAAATACTGTTTTAGACTTAGAAATATTTTTTTTCTTGTTCTAGGGACTAAGCATTGCTCCAAACCTATCTCCCAGTTTGTCTCAACCCCAGCCATGAAAAACCTCTCCAGAGTATACTAAAAGGAAAAATAGTTCATTTTCCTTATTAGCTCACTTTTTAAAATCCTGAATAACCAAAACACATTTTAGCTTCTTTGATGGGGATGGCTCTCCAAGAGTAAAATATAGACTCATATCACTTAGAACTTCAAAACGAATAGACTCATGCCGAGGAAAGCTTTAAGAAAATATGATCAAAAGAAGTTGTGATCTCTTAGCCATGGGAGGGATTAGTTTTATGGCCTAGTCTAATCTCAGCCACTCATTATCTTTCAGAAATACCTTTGATTATTTTTCTTTTAATTATACTAAACCCTCTGAGAAATGAAGGTTGCGATCCAGTCTCTTAGCTATCATTTTTGTTTATTTTTGGAGGCACATATCCACTAAGAAAAAATATTATTTTTCTATTTTAGCTCTATCCAATTAATATTTGAGAAGAAGAGTGTAAGTTCACTTCTTAATGTTTACCGAAAACTTAATTTAACATGTTCTCCAGTCAAGTGGCATTTTTCATCTTTGGGTTACAATACAATGGAATCCCTCTTGAGTATTGTTTTAAAATCTTAGTACAAAAGCACAGACTGTGGTTTGGGTTTGAAACAAAATGCAGATGTTTAAATCTCAGTAAGAACACCAAAAGCACAATCCATTTAATTAGTATTCTGTGACTATCTATAGCTTCTTGTTAATGCACATACAGTATGCAGTACAATTTCAAAGTGGCTTTTCCACCTTACACCATTGCTTATTTCAATACATAATACTCCTTCCACACGATATGGAGGACAGCAATAAAAAAATAGTGAGATATATCTATATCTATATCTATAATATTTATAGATCTGATATGAACAAAAGTTAGAAAGATACCTCTTCTCATGCTCTTTCTATTCAGTGGTGCACTAATTAAAATGTTCACATAGTAAATACATTCAGATTTGTGTTTACTGTTTGCATGAATATCGCAACTCTGATTTTGGTGAATGTGTGATGGCAAGTTTTTCTCGGTCTATTCCCTGCACCTTCATTATTGCTCCAGTTCAGCAAAGCACTTAGGCACAGGCTTAACTTTAAGTGCATGGTTAAATCCATCACTAGTCAGCAGAGCACTTAGGGTTTAATCCTGCTCCTCTGAAGTCAATGGGAATTTTGCCATTAATTTAAGCAGCAGCAGGATCATACCCTTTTAAGCCCATGCTTACGGGCCCATTGACCTCAATGGGACCTAGCATGGACTTAATTGCTTTGCCAAATTAGGAACCTAAATGCACTTATTTTGTATGTTCTATCCAAATGTAATTATAATTGTAGTGCAATGATTTCATGATTCAAGAGCTGGTGTGATGCAGAGAACCCAATATAACGGTCAGTAATACTCTTCTACTAATAATATAACTATATCTTGGAATTATTTCAGGGTGAATTTTTTTACCACTGTGTCCATTGTGGTTCAAATAAATGGTGGTGTAATAGTGCTAACAGAAAAATAAGTGAGTAGCATTCCTTTTTTTCAGGAACTATATCGTAAATGAACTAAACAAAAGGATGCTTTCTCACTAAATTCTTGTCTCTATAAAGTAAGTAAATTTATCTCCTTGAGCCATTTTTTTTTCATTTCATATCACAAATAATTTGAACTTTACAATTTGATTTCTTCTGTGAAACTAGAACTGGGCAAATACTGCAAAAAGATTTTTCTGCAAATATTTATTCGAATTTATATATGAAATTGCTTTGACTGTTCTGTTTGCTTTCTGAGAATATTCTAATAAATAAGTTTACTAGCAGGAACTTGAGTTTTAAGTGCATATTCAAGAATATTTATGGAAAGCAGATTTTGTTTTCATAAATGGAACTATTCACTCCAAAAACCTGATTCTTCAAGTTTCTAAGCAGGGAACAGAAAGAAACCATGTGATTTTATGCATCCATTTAAAACTAACTAATACAGATTGAATTTCAAATACTGAATTGAATACTTGCAATTAACTTGTTCATGAAGTATCTACAGATAAAGAATTACATGGTGAATAATTTTGAACAGTATGAATTCTTTACCCAGCTCTATGACAGTCTGATATACAAACAATTGATCAGTTCAAGAATCTTTTACTTAATTCTCAGTCTTGATGCCTCAGATAACAATATTTTAATAATTATGACTCACAGGTTTGTGGCACTAAATTCACAGTGGTGTGATTATGAAAACTGCCATAGCTACCATCTTCAGAAGCAGATGTTTTTCTTTTACCATGAAACATTTCAAAGTAGATAGAAAAGTCAGTTCAAGTGACAGCATCGGTGAACAACCAGGTTTCTTCTATTTGTATCTTAACCTCTTCTGTGCCACACTTGCATGCCTATGGCCACTGCTTTTAAAGGCAAGCTCATTCTTTTAAAAATAAGCACAACATCAAAGTGGCATGTACAGTATGCCCATAGGGCCGAAGGAGAGTCTATTTGCTGGATATATACACTATACATTGTAAGGCACACAAAAGTGGTTAAGTTTACTTTTTTTTATTACTCTGGTCTTCTGTAATTTCATAAAGATGGTAGCTACCACTGCTTGGAAAGGCTGGAAAAAAATGTGCACCCCTAAGAGTGGCCAGTGTATTTTTTTTATATATTTCCTTCAAGAAAAACTTGTGAAAAGGTGAATTTTAGGGTATTTTAAAAAATAAATATAAACTACCATGTTACCTTTTATATACGTAGATATGTTTACATATAATATATATATCTAAATATATAAAATGGTTGTAAGAACTCATTACTATAAGCTTAGCTTTAGTACAGTCCTTAAATAAATATACTGGTATATATTTTCCATTACACTTCTGCACTGCTTCTTTCTAATGCAGAACTTGATAAGCATGTTGGTTGATAATAGCAAACAAAATAATTCAGAACAGAATAATACTTATCATGCAATGTAGTAGGCATCCTGTGGCACTATTCTCTTATCCAAGTTATTTACAGTACTGCTGAGTACGTTTACAAATATTACAGAGTTTGCCATATTGGATTTCTCATGGCACCCAGCAAGTGTTCATGGTGCTAGTCCTGTCAGACATGTGTTTCAATGAATGAATGTGTGTGTGTCAGCAGTGGTGCGGGGGTTACAAGTTCAGCGGCTCCATTTTGAGGTTTCAGAGCAGCGCTGTACTCACAAATGTCCAGGAAAAATTCATAGTTCTTTATCTTCCACTCTTTGAACTTCTTTGATGTCAAGTTAGGATCATCCAGAAGATTGTTGATAGTTACCAGGTCCCCTTCCTTTGCCTGTTAAATGCCAAAAAAACCAGAGCACATTTCAGAAATACAATTTAAACGACATGTTATACTTGGCCTTTTATTTGTCCTTGAGTGCTAAAAAAAGGTGCTAGAGCAACTGCAATGCACACTAAGGTCCTTTATCTATACACAGAACTGTTACAGCTCACACAGTGCAATGCAGTCTTCCCTATATCCGTTGGCATGATTCCACAGTGGCTTTCAGTGACCATCTCTAATTGTAAAAGTGTAGTAAATTAGGTCTTCTTGACAATTCAGTCCTTGGCATCCTCCATGACACAGGTAACAAGAGTGCCAAATACTGGCAATGGTTGTGAGGTTGGCAACTGTCCCCTACCTTCTGTTTCTCTCAGTACTGCCAAAGTTTCCTTGTGACCTAATTCTCTCTCTAAAATAAAAGTCCAAACACTGAAAATTTTAAGAAGCTACACTGTTACAATTTCATGTTGAACATAAACATTAATGGTAACAGCTTACTTTTAAAGTGCTCTTGAGAACTCTGATGTGATGAAGTTTTTCGTTGATAATTGGATCATTGCACCTCTTTACAAAAGACTTCCGGAATTCCTGCTTGGTAGAAGGACGCTGCTCTCCAAAGGCTGACAAGCTGGCTTGTTCCAAAGACTTGTACAGCTCTTGCAGACCATCTGTACTTTCCCTGATTTCCTTTATGTTTTCTGGAAAAAAAATATTATTTTTTTAACAATCCAGGCAACTTTGGATGGGAGGGTAATGAAAGATCCTGAAAAGCTCAAGAATTCTGAAAGTTGCCTATGGAATAACCACCTGATATCTTTTCCTGATTTGAGAATTGATAAAATCAATTGTTCTGGTCAACAATAAAGTTGGAATCAGAACATACATAGACTTTCTGAACCAAAATGATGGTGTAGTAACTAATGCAATCTCCATATTTTCAGCTTTCTTGGAAATTATAATTCTGCCACAAAGATACTCATATAAAGCCTGATCACTCATCAATGAGGTCAATGGCAAAGCTCCCATTGAGGTCAATGGTGAGTATTGGTGTCACAGTCCCTTCAAAATCTTACCTTCTTCACAGAAACTATTTTGCTTTTTTATAAGAAGTTTCTCTTCAGGCTTCTCTTCTGTTATGCCTGAAGACTTCACATGCCCTTTGACCCTGACATCTCTGTTTCGTGGAAGGCTTTGACTACGTTGCTTCTGGGGCCTGTTATGAGAACTATATCCTCTTTGCCACTCCACCAAAGGGAAAGGTCCATCTCGTTCATGATTGTGACGTCTTTGGACTGGTAATGTTGCTTGTCTTCGCCTCTCTGGTGACATTCCAGGTCGGCCACTCATGTATTCTGGGTCAGGAGGAACAGTCTGAAGAAAATGGAGGCCAGAACTGGTTAAGGGGGTCTCTATCAGGTCCTGCCATGAGCGCCTTTCTCGATAGGGAGGTCTGCATCCTGACGAGTGTGTACTTCCTGTGGCATCTTGTCGGGAATCCTCCGCAGAAGAATAAGAGTAGGTAGATTCGCTTGAAAAGTGTCGACCATGTTTGGGTTCAGGGAATGGACTTGAAGAATTCACCTAAGAAGAAATGAAAATATCTGATTATAAAGACATAATTGTGACTAGACATTGGCAAACCACAAAAGATACAGTTCAGTATATGTTAGTATTAACCAAATGATCTGATTTGTATAGTTTGGTATATCACACTATAAACTCTTAGTGAGCAAGACATAACTAACTGTGTAATACTTTATGTAAGCACTACATTTTTAACCACTCCCTATTCTTGTTTTGACACATTCTCTGCCCAAGAACAACTCCTGCTGGAAAGGACAGGATAGCACTGGTATAGGTTTTGCAAAGACCTAACCTAGCTTACACCTATTCCAGCAGTGTGTTTTGAGGAAGACATGGAAGCCCCCGAAAGAAACCATAACTGGATTTCCTTTCTTTTCAGAAGGCAGATGTTCCAGCAAAACAGGGAAGAAAAAAAAAAAAACTTCAGCACCCAAAAAAACATTTAAATTTTAGGGGACTGCTGAGCTTATCCAAATTATTTTAATTAAATTCTGCTTGGTCCTTGTATTATTTTAATTAAAAAAAGAGAGAAAGGCAAAAAAGTGGAAAAACAGAAAGGGAGGGGCTTAACCTGTATCCCGGTTGATAAACAGCATCACATGGGTGAAAATCAGTCTGAACTTCACCCATGTGATGCTGTTGCCTCAGTCATTCTTTCTTTGGTTCTGGTTGTGTGAGGATCGTGTCATTCACGCTGAAGAAAAATCTGAAAGAAAAATAGAGAACAGTCCTATCTGCACTTAGAAACAAAAGTTAAATATCACAGCCTACCCATGTACTGTATAGCAGCAGTGCTTTTATCGGCTATCAGAACCTGCCCATACACTGTACACAACAACTTTTATAAGCTATTTTTTGCTTTAAAGCACTTAAGAAAAATATTGCAGATACAATGGGTATTTTACACAATGCTATATTTTGAAAGAAACTTGTCTTTAAAGATATGTTTCTTATAAATAAAGTATTTTTCCTCCAGATAATGACTATTATATGAATATAATATAAAACTCTTAATTTCCAGTAAATATGGAACACTATAGATACAGTATAAACTCTCAGGTAATAGAGATGACCCAAGTACAAGACATTTTATTCATACTGGAGTAAAAAATCTATGTATTCCTTTTGTATTGGATTTTTTCTTTTTTAAAGAAAAAATTGGCTTGACCACACTAGGTAAACACAGCAGAGTAAAATGGCAGTAGTCTCTTCTTCCTATGTGCTCCCATTTCTTATTTTCAGAACATTCACTCCAGCTCTTAGCCATTAGAAATGATAATATTCTCAGAGTTTACAGCTGAGAACCACCTCTGTTCTGCTCATAATGTAATTAGATGCCATTACAAAACAAGCAAAATACTAATCAAAGAAGCATGGACATTTATTTCTTGGCCTTATACAGCATGTATTATTCATGACTTACTGAGGGTGTTCGATGGTAGGTGTCACATCGTGTTGAAGGGCCTTCCTGTTTCAGGGTTAAAGAGCCATCAATATCATCCTGGTCACTTTCACTCCAGTAATCTGGTAACAAAATGTTCTATGTTTCATTGAAATATTTACTCATAAGATAGTATTGGCAACATTTTCAAAGCATAATTGATACTTTCTCTGATATAGACAGGATGTAAGTCCCAGTCTCTGAAGCGTCTAAGGGCTGGATTTTCTAAGATATTTAGATGCCTTAAGACAGTGGTCTCCAAACTTTTTATGCACAAGATCACTTTTTGAATTTAAGTGCAACCCAGGCTCTACCCCACTTCTTTCCTGAGGCCCCGCCCCGCTCACTCCATCCCCCCTCTCTCTGTCATTCACTCTTCCCCTCCCCCACTCACTTTCACTGGGCTGGGGCAGGGGGGGCTGGGGTGCAGGAAGGGGTGCGGGCTCTGGGTTGGGGGTGAGGGGTTTGGCATGTAGGAGGGGGCTCTGGGATGAGCCTGGGGCAGGGTGTTGGGGTGCAAGAGGGGGTGAAGGAAGCAAGCTCTGGGAGGGAATTTTGGTGCAGGAGGAGGCTCCAGGCTAGGGCAGAGTGTTGAGGTGCAGGAGGGGGTGTGGGCTCTGGGAGGGAGTTTGAGTGCAGGAAGGGGCTCTGGTCTAGGGCAGAGTGGTGGGGTGCAGGAGGGGGCATGGGGTGCTGGCTCCAGGAGGGGGCTCAGGGCTGGGGATTGGGGTGTGGGAGGAGTGTGGGCTCCCACCCGGGTGGCACTTACCTCAGGCAGCGGCACAGCAGGGCTAACACAGGCTCCCTGCCTGCCCCAGCCCAACACTGCTCCCGGAAGCGGCCATCACGCACCTGTGGCCCCTGGTGGGGCGGCCGGGGTCTTTGCATGGTGCCCGTCTCTGCAGGCACTGCCCCTGCAGCTCCCATTGGCCGCAGTTCCCCGTTCTTGGCCAATGGGAGCTGTGGGGGAAGTGCTTGAGGCAGGAGCGGTGCACGGAGACTCCATCCCCCCGCCAGGGCCTCAGGAGTGTGCTGGCCAATTCTGGGAGCAGTGCGAGGCCACGGCAGGCAGGGAGCCTGCCTTAGCCCCGCTGCACCACCGGACTTTTAGCAGCCGGAGATTGTGATAGACTGTCAGAGGCTCCAGGATCAACCAGTCGATCACAATCTACCGGTTGGTGACCATTGCCTTAAGACATGGATAGGTGCCTAGTGGGATTTTCAAAAAAGCCCGAGCAGGTTAAGCATCTAAGTCCATTGATTTCACAGGGAGTTAAGTGCCTAACCCACTCAGGCACTTTTGAAAATCCCACTAGTTACCAATCTGCATCTTCAAGCCCCTAAGTACTTTTGAAAATCTGGTACTTAGTCATTTATGGCACATCTACATTGCAAAAAATCCCACAGCAGTGAGTCACAGAGCCTGGTTCATCTGATTTTGGCTCTGGGGGCTTGAACTAGAGAGCTAAAAATAGCAGTGTAGGCGTTCTTGCCTGGGGTGGAGCCTGGGCTCTGAGACCCACCTACCTTGCCAGGTGTCCGAGCCCAGGCTCCAGCACAAGCAGGAATGTCTATACTGCTATTTTTAGCCCCATAGCATGAGTCCCACAAGCCCAAGTCAGTTGACCATGGCTCTGAGACTTGCTGCCATGGGATTTCTTTTGCAGTGTAGGCATAACCTTAGGAACCTCAGTCCCACTGACTTTCGTGGACATACTTCCTGGATGGTTGAAAGGCACTTCGCTTTCAGCTCAATGCCTCAAAACTCACTCAAGGAGTATACCAGTAGCCTATCAAATCAGGCATTCCGTGTTGTGCTTATAGTCGAATTCTCTTCCCCAACAGTAATAATCAGAAAGGAGTTGCATATTCCTTCACAGAAGACAAAAGCATATACAAACTGCAATATCAAAATATTCAGTTAATCATCAAGTCATTCTATTGTCCAAATCGGTATTTTATCATAATCTGGGTATTTTATCATAATCTGTATGTGATGATAGAAAAGACTGTATCTGGACTGCATAATGTAAAAACAAAGTACCCTTTTTCTCAGTTCATTTTTCTCTCCTGTTTACTATTTTCTCTTTAAATGAGTGCATTCTCCTCACCCCAGCTGTGTGTGATCTGCTCTGCTGGCTGGTGGAGAAATGGGGGGCAGGCAGGGCTGGCTCCAGGCACCAGCCCACCAAGCATGTGCTTGGGGCGGCGCCTGGAGGCGGGTGGTGCAGCGGGGTGCTGCGGCCCAAGAGCGGGGCCGCGACTGGGCTCGCCACCCTCCCCGTGGCGCTCCAGCCGCCGGGGAGAGTGGAGCCGCAGCGGGCTCGCCGCCCTCCCCCCAGCACTCCGGCCGGTCGGGGAGAGCAGAGAGCCGCGGCGGGATCTCCGCCCTCCCCCCCGGCGCTCTGGCCGCCGGGGGCTCTCCGCCCTCCCCCGGCACTCTGGCCGGCCGGGGAGAGTGGAGACGCCCCGGCCGGGCTCGCC